GTGTGTGTGTGTGTGTGTGTGTGTGTGTGTGTGTGTGTGTGTGTGTGAGAGAGAGAGAGAGAGAGAGGATCTAGGGATCTAGAGGTTAGAAAGGCAGGCGAGAAGAAGGGGAAATGATTTTTCAAAAGTGCCAGGTAACAGCTAAAAAATTATTGACTATTCAAAAATCAAAAGCTAAAATGCCTAGCGAATTTCCTAGAGCAGAATACAGGTGGTCCCGGAACAGAGAGGGGGAAAATGGCAGGGGTGGGGGCGGGGGTGGTGTGGTGGGAGGGGTGCGTTCCTCCTCTCACAGAGTTCTTTCTAGTCCCAGCTGCTGGATGAGGGAGCGCCCTGGGGAAAGAAACGGAGCGGAATCGCAAAAGATAGTCTTGCTGTCTTCAGACCCGAAGCCTCAGGGCTTGTGTGAGTGTCTGGTTTTCTAGGCGAGCGACCAGAACTCTGAGGGTGCTTTTGTCTTCTTCCCTCACCCCTCCGCAGGCAACTTTGTAAAGAATTTACGGATCTACTGGCTCAGGACCGGACACCGATCGGAAACAGCCGGCCCAGCCCCATCCTGGAGCCGGGCATCCAAAGCTGTCTCACCCACTTCAGTCTTATCACGCACGGCTTCGGTGCCCCGGCCATTTGCGCTGCACTCACGGCCCTGCAGAACTATCTCACCGAGGCGCTCAAAGGCATGGACAAGATGTTCTTGAACAACACCACTAACAGGCACACGTCTGGGGAAGGCCCAGGTAGTAAAACTGGCGACAAGGAGGAGAAACACAGGAAATGAAAAAAAAAATTAATAAAGAGAAGGAAAATGTTTTAAATACAAAAGGAAAACAGAAAAAAAATAAATTTAGCTTTAACATATTGGATTGGCTTTGGAAGAATTATATTAGGTAGAATACACATACAATCAAAATTTAAAAAGAAAGCTAAATAACTTAAAAAAATAAACTGAGGCGTACAACGGAGCAACAAATCGGCTCTCGGTGTCTATTTCAAGATACACGTGGAGACAACCGTCCGGATTTTCCACTTCGGTTCTTTCGAGTTTAGTAATACAGATAATAAAAGAAAACTATGAATCCCCCTTTTGGAAAATAAATCGTGAGACTAAACATGAGAACACGCTAACTTATTGGAAGAAAATTGGAGAAACGTTGGTATCAATGCTTTTGAGAGCTCGTTGACTGAGACGCACGAACTTTTAAATTTTTAATTTTTTTTGTTTTAAAGGAAACTCTCGCACTCCGCGCCCTCCATTTCTCCTCAATCTCCTCACCGCTTCTCCCTCTCTCCCTCCCTCCTCACAGCGTTGCGGGAACTTGCTGGGTGATCACGAGTGTGATTAGCTCTCTGACTTTAGCCCCTTTGGTATCCAGACTTCGCCTTGTGTTCCTAACTCCCGTGTGCCCAACTCCCCACCTCCCCGCCACTCCCAGCCCCGCCCCGGTGTGTTTAATTAGGGAGGCCAAGGGTGGGGGTAGGGGGACAGGCGGAGGCTCTAGCTTTTGATCCAGGCTTGAGAGCCGAGGCTCCCGCCGCAGAGGAAACCGATAAGTTGATTCATCATGGTTCCTTTCAGAAAATGTTACTAGTTTCCCAAACGTGACAGCACCTGTTCACAGAGAATATTACATTTGTTATACTTGTGCCATCTAGAAGTATAGTTTAAAAAAAAAAGAAAAGAAAAAACAAAACATGAAAACTTTGATTAGTATGTAATTCCTTCGGAGGGGTATGTACTATTTATTCTCTTCTGTTTCCCAAAGCTTTACCCGCATGGTTTATGAGCTTCTTCAAAGAAGACTTGGGCTTCCTACACAATCTATAAGGTACTGAGAAAAAAAAAATCTGATCCTTTTAAAGTTAAAGCCTGCGTGTCAGCTTCGGCAGGTTTTACTTCTTTAAAGAAGCTCAAAGAGAATCATTTAGGAAGTGGTCAGTGTTGGGGGAGCGGCTTTGTATTTCTCGATAACACACCTCAACGCGGGAATTCCAGCAGGGGCGGGGCACTGCAGAATGTATTTTAAGGGAGTCGAGTAAGTTAGGCATCTTGCTTGGGAACCTATATTCTAACGGTATTGTCTTTATTGAAAAATGAATTCCATTTTCTTGGGCTCTTTGGGGACCGTTGTTGTAATGGGGGGAAAAAAAGCAGCTTCGCTGACGTAATTGGGGAAGAAAGTCTACAAACTCTGCTTTATGAATGAAACAGTTTTCCTTCTCAGACACACAGTTGTTTTGGCACAAAATGGTGTACACACACACACACACACACACACACACACACACACTCACATACCACAAAGCACAAAGCAAAGGCAACGAGTTTGTATTTCAGCTTTGAATTCCTATCCAGATATATTGGGACTATTCCCAAATGGATGAAGTTCTGTGCATTTACTGTATCTCTCTCGTCTTAGTTCAACTTTTCACCATACCCCATATTAATATTACCATGAAGTAAAACCTGCACCTTTAGCAAGATCAAGTAGACTGATTGGTGCACACATATAGTTTGGGTGCACGTGGTTTTTTCAACCACCTAGATCGGATCTTTATAAAAATCCACTGGGATAAACATTCATATGCTTTCTGTGTTTTAGAGACAGTCTCTTCCCCCAATAGTCTGAACTCTCAGTATGCCTATTCTTTTTCAATCCACTTTGAGGCAAGGGAAGTTTTAGGGACCCTCTGAGGGCATTGCTCAAAGGATTTTTTTTTTTTTTTGAGGAAAAGGAAAGTCAGTAGGTTTGAGGTCCATGAAGGTTGTAAACAAAAATTGAGGTCAGACAACATCTCCTCTCCTATCTCTAGCTGATCTGAGTTCCGTATGTTTTCAGGACACAGCCCTAGACACGCTGAAAGGAGTAGAAGGGACAGGAAAAAAAAACAAAAAAGACCTTGTGTGAGCTATAGACTCTCATCTTTCCTCAGTTTAGAGGCCCACCCTTTTTTTTTTTTTTTTTTTTTTTTTGTTCGAGAGCCTGGACGCTTGCATTAGTTGAATTCTGATTGCACAAGGCCAGCAGAAAACACATTGAAAAACATCGTCTCCTTTCCTTGCAGGGCAACGCGCCCCACGCGTGTGACATCGAGAGACGCGATGGATGCGCCTTGCTCTTACTGTGCAGGTCCTGGGAACATGTGGGCCACTGAAGCCCAGTGGTGTTGAGGACATAGAATCAGCAGCTGCTGGGGTCGCGAGCCGCAAAAGCCCCTTTGCTCTCCGCCTCACCCTAAGGGCTAAGGCAACCGAGAAAGGCCGGTTCCCGAGTAGGTAAAGGGGCGGCGCTCCACTGGCTGCTGGGGGGGAGGTATCCCAGAGCTCTGTAAAGCCCTTTTGCCGCAAGCGGTCATTCCTGGCCCTACACTTAGAAACGTTGTAGCTTGGAAAATCCAAGGAATTTGAAACTTCCATGTATTTTTATTGCTAGGAAGGAAACTGTCCCTACACTTACTCTACTGAAGAATTGCCAATCTTGGGTAGCTAGGCTCCCATCGACTTCCTGGTGTCCGTGTGAACATCAGCGAAGGTACTGCTAGGTAGACCTGGCTCGAGCCCCCTCCCCCCTTTCTCCACCTCCGGGGCTGTCTTCTGTTTCCGTCCTTTTTCTAGCTCCCTCTTTCAAGTCCCTTCCGCTCCCATGCTTTTCTTGGCCAAGCCGGCTACATTTATCTGATAATTGAGTTATTAAAAGATTTGTTTTCCTTAGGTTTATAAATCAATAAACAGTAGGATTAACGCAAGAGTTTGCCTTTTAAGTCAAGAAAAACATTTAAGGCCAGGCCCTTTGAGTTTTGTTTTCAAACCAAACAGGTGAGTTAACAGTCCTATCCTCTCCCCTAGCACTCTGTAGACGTCTTATCTAGGCCTGCATTCCCTCCACTCCCCTACTAAATGCTGGGTTCCAAAACCAAATAGCTAAAGACTGAAGAGTAAGCCCATAGCTGCTGGCGTTCCCCCAAGGCTCTCAGAGACCCTGCAATACAAGCGTTCTCCTACTTGTATTCTGGGTCTCATGGAGTTTGTTCATGGGTGAGGATTCCCTCTCCAGAGACCTTTAACTTTCATCCCAACTAGGAAGTAACTTTCTTTTCTTCCTTTCCCCTACTTATCTTGGATATGCCCCTCCGCCCCTTCTCCCCCCCCCCCTTACCCTTCACCCTTAACTTTCTCCACCCCTATATAAAGAGCTCAACAGACTTTCAAAGATCTGTCTGACTTTTGTTGGCATTGGCCAAGAAACTTTCTCTTAAGAAATTATTTCATAGCCTATGGAAACTGGTCGAATGAAAAACTCCAATCCCTCAACTTTTCTACACACTTCCTTCATGGTTACAAGACCCACCCTTAGTTAGAGTATTGATAGAAAATTTGCCACCATACCTGATATCCTGTACTTTTAATACATTCTGTGGGGAGGAAATTATGACCTTAAACCGTCAGACACTGCCTCAAGAGCTCTGAGAAAGAAGAGTTCCCCTCCTTTGCTGATGTATATTAAATTATTGGTAAAAGAAAAAAAAGGAAGTATTGGAATTTGTTTTCTTTGAAAAAAAATCAGAATGAACGCCATTTCTTCTTTAAATGCCAAAATTGGTTCTCCTTTTGAGTTGGCCTCTAATTCAGTACTATTGGTTTGACCACCCAGTCAAGAGGTACCGACTGCCTCTTCTGGAGAGCACTCTGGAGGGTATCCATGTTAAGTTTGTATATATTTATTTATGCTTAATTTAATGGGAATGTGTAAATATGAAGACCAAGTAGTTTGGGATTATTTATCTGTGAATCTATACCTCTGTGAATGGGTGGTTTAAAAAAAAAAAAACGCTTGACCCTAGCTAGAATCCTATCTGAATTTTTCTGTTCTTTATAGACAAGCTGTTATGGTATTGGGTAGAAATTGGTTTATTGTCCAGTGTTAATCTGATTTACATAAATAAAAAGATTGTTGTGTTTTTTTGTTGTGTTCTCCTCTTCGGTTCCTTAAACATGGAGATTGTTTCATTCTACAATCAGAAAAGAGATATAGCAAAAAGCTTTCCTCTTTTTGCACCCCCCTGAAGTACATACAGTGTTTTTGTTACAACAGAAATACAATAAATTTTGCTTATCAGAAGAATGAACTCTTCTGTTTCCAGTAGGAGGTGCTTTTTTTTTTTAACTTTTAAAACTTCAAATGGATACTAGTCCCAATCATATTTGTAATAAAAGTTCATATTAACTGCATCTTATTGTTTGTTTTACCCTTAAAAGAAAAAAGGAGTGTTATATTTACTTCCTGGGTGACTAAAGGATCCTGAGTGCAAGTCAAAGATGCTACAGTGGGTGGTGAATGAGTTAGGTGTTCCCAGGTGGTGTTGGTATACATTGCAAAACTGGGTGACATTGGTTCTTGGGGTTGGGGGTTGGTTAAGTGGTCCATTTCAGGATGGAATCTCTTCCTCACTTCCTCAGTAAGGGTCTCTGCAAGCAAGTGATGAAAAAGCTCCCTTGGCCAAGAAGAGAATAGAGTTGTTCATAGCTTAGGATGCTGTTTCTTATCTTGGGTTCTGAGGCAGCCAGCTTCTCTCACTTGGGTTAATGGACTCTGGCTTAGCCCCTTGAGCCCTAGTGACTGAATGTCTCAATCTGTATTATGTCTCAAGGTGGGAATATCTTCCTGGAGGCCAGGAAAGCAAAGTCATTCAAGTTATTCTAGAGTTTATGCGAGTCACTGCCTCTCTTGGGGCACCACAGGCTTTATCTGTCTTTTCCTTACACCACCATTGCCTAATGTAATCATAAAAAGCAGAAATAACAGCCAGTACATAATACAGAAATGGTACATCCTGAGCTCAGGTTACACAAGAGTGTGTAACATATAGTTGGTGCTTGTGTAATTAATAGTACCGCTCATAAAATTTCCATTTTTCAAAGAAGCCTTGTCCGCTTAGATTCTCCTATACAGAAAAGCAGAAGAGCTGGAACAATCAGCTTTACTCAAGGCTTTCTAGTTCTCATATTATTTATTAATTTAAAGGGAGAAGGGTTTTTATGGCTAGAATTGTAAACAATGGACTCAAAAAAAATAAAAGAAGGAATGAGGAGAGAAGAAAAGATGCAAACAAAGCAAAACAAAACAGAAATCCCACAGGAAGTGTTGTTATGAGGGTGTGTGATCTATATAGCTTAAAAGAAAACTTATGAAAGTGCTTTAGTCTCTTGCTCAGTTGTGTTAACATTGGATTTCCCTTTCATTTGCTTTACAGAGTGTGGGGCTGTTTAGCAATGGACAGATAGAGAGTTGTGTTGTGGGTAATTTTTATACTCTATGACAAGGTTCCTACAGCAAGGGAACACCAGCTCTGGACAGAGAGACAACTAATCTTTTATCCTGCAGGCAAACTCTGGACCAGCATGACTCTCCCACCAGCATTTGGTAAGAGGTCAATGACCTGTGTAAGCAAAACTCCAAACCTAGTGAGGCTATAACTGCGGGGAAACGAATTGGGGGTGGGGAATGGGGAGGGGGAGAAGGAATGGTTGGAAGCAGCAACCATCACTATGGTACAGACCACAGGACATTAGGACCACAGAGGACATTAGGAAAGACTTCAAGCAGAGCTTACAGGACTTTGACCTTGCCTGCAAAGGAATCTTAAGAGGCACTGGAGGTGGAGTCCTTGCTCTCTCTCTGTGCCTGGAGCACTCTAGAGCAGCCACAAAATTTACCTTCCCTTCTCTAACCCATCACTGGCTTAAGGTCCTCATTAAGATAGAAGTTTAACGGTTTACAAATTTTAAATGCTTGTCCTTATTTGAAAACAACTGGTCCAGTGTCCATCCCTGGGGACCACCAGGCAGTTGATGGCCCTGTGGATCTTCTCCTTTGCAAGAAGGCCCCTTACGGCTTCCAGACACCCTAGCTGCCTTTTGCGTTCAGAGCCTGGTTGTCTGCCTTGTTGAAGACGCAGAAATTAAACGTGCAGGACCAAGTCCATTAATTTTACCTTCCCATTAATCTATTTATAACGGAGCCAGTGGAGCTCTATAAATACCGTCCTATAAAATTGAAGTCTTTCTCATAAATCTTCCAAGTTGTTTATTTACATGTATTTCCTGGCCCTTTAATGGTCTTCCTGTAAACTCGGGGAAGACTCTAGCCGACCCCACCCAGGACTGGCGTGCGCTCTCTTCTTTTCCTTCTACCCAATCCCTCAAGGAGTTTGACCAGGAGAAGGGTAGGGTAGAACCGGGAGGGTGAGATTCATTTTTCCTCCATGACTTTGTTTCCTAGTTTCTATCCAAAAATCAATCTCTCTCTCTCTCTCTCTCTCTCTCTCTCTCTCTCTCTCTCTCTCTCTCTCTCCATACTCCCCATCACAAGCCTCATGTTGATTTATATCGTCATAAACAGCATTCTTGCAACTGTATTTCCTCTCATAGCTTGGGGTGAGCTCCTTTTTTCACGTCCCTGGCAGCCACCACTTTAAAATCGGGCCTCATAAATAACCCCAAGGGCTCGCTCAAGATGAGATCCGTCAAATGTCTTTCAGGGTCCACTTTTCTAGTTTGGGTCTCTCCATGGCTCTCCCCAAGGTCACTGGTTGGTGCAGCCCAATTGGCTTCCCCCGCTCCCCCCTCCCCGGGTTGCCTACGCGCTACCCCCAAGGAGAACTGCAAAATTTAGAGACTGGGTTCCAAAGTCAGAAGCGGCTGCAGGCGCCTGCTCTGCGTGCGCGCTCCTCAGCTTGCTTGGAACCAGCGCACTGGCACTGGACTCCCGCAGCACACAACTATGAGCACTCTCTTGGATGTCTGAATGGGTGTCACGGACGCGCCAGAGCACGCCCGCCCGTCCTTGCACGCTCACTCACACACGCACGGACCCCGCAGCGCTCCAGGGCGTATCCCCAGCATCCACAGTTTGCTCTAGCGTTGCAAACTGCTGCAGCGTGGGCGTGGGCAGCACCCCTACAGGATTCCTTTCTTTTCATATCTTTCCCTACACTCCCCCTCCCAGAGCTTCTTATGCACCGTTCGTTCGAGGGAGTAGTTCTGTCACAGAACTTTAACTCATTTGAATCTGGTCCCAAGCGATCACCACCTACTTGTTCTGAGCCTATTGGTTCCTGTTTCTTCTCCGAAGGGCATACTGGAGCTGACTTTAGCAAGAGAAGTGAGGAGGTCGTGGGAGGGAACAGTCACACCTGCTGCCCAGAGAGGCCTCGGCATAAAAAACGGCTCTTTAAATTTTTAGAAAAGCCACATAATGGCCTATGGCCTTACCAAAACGGTGACCTGCCCAGGCCCACCAGTTAACGTCCCAGGCGTGCCTGCTTTCAGATATTAGCAAACACTTCAAGGATGTGGTTGTCAGATGTCATTAGCCAAGTCGTGCTCAGCAGCCATTTGATTAAGAAGGAGGAGGAAGCAGTCATGGCGTTTAAGTAGAGTATGTGGTGGTGGCAACGGTGGGATGTCAGAATGTTTCCACTTGAGCAGACAAATGTCCCAAGTGATCTGAGCGAAAACAAGCTGGCATGTGAGCCGTGGGGTACAGAGGGTTGGGGACAGGATATTCTCTGGGACTGCAGAGACAATCATACTTTTAGGATGGGAACTCCCTCAAACTGGTCAACTACAGAGACTGGCTTGTATGATCAAGACTTGATAAGCTGGAGTTTCAGGCCCCGAAATCTGACATCCCAATCCTCGATTAGCACCTCAGGGCACAAAACGGCTGGTGGCTATTCGGGTGGGCAGAATATAACCTGTAATCGAATTTCTAAGGAAATGGAATACACGGGAAGTATTTTAAAAAGAAAAAAAAATCCTTGTAAATTGCTTTTTACTTCAGGTAGAGGTATAATGTCCTAGGAGCTAGTACAGGAGTGGGGGAACCCAAGCCATTGCAAACGGGAAAAAAAAGCAAGCATGAAACCACCCAAACTTCAGTCCTCCTTGGGCTCTTCCCATCAAACAAATACAAAAGAAACTTTTGTTTGTTTTTTGTGACTGTGTAAACTTGGAGAGTAAAGTATCAAGCTTTGACTAGGATGAACTGGGTATAAATATTATCCCTGATAGGTGATTTTGCCAGGTGACCGGTTGAGAGAGACATGCCTTGGAGATTGCAGTTCAGGTGGTTTTCAGCTGCAGCTGCATGTGAGCTTGGTCTTGAAACTGTAGATCCAGAGTAAATATGGAGCAGGCACAACAAAGCAAGGTTTACCCAAGTGAATTTTCTTTGTCCTGACAGGGCCCCGTGTTAAAGCTCTTGTTTTTTATTCTGTTCTTTTAACATTTCTTCCTTTTCCTGGTTTTCTTCTTCCTCCTCCTTCTCTTCTTCTCTTCCTTCCTTCCTTCCTTCCTTCCTTCCTTCCTTCCTTCCTTCCTTTCTTTCTTTCTTTCTTTCTTTCCTCCTATTTACTTGTTTATTTATTTATATTTTGTTTGAGACAAGAGTATCCCTGGCTGTCCTGGAACTCTCTCTGTAGAAAAAGGTGCCCTTAAATTCAGGGATCTGTCTGTCTCTGCCCACTCCAGGTTTAAATTTATTATACTTTCATTCTCTTCCTTTGTGGGTAGAAGTCTTGTAGTTATGGATTCCTAAAGATAGGGTACTTTCAAGGATGAAGCAGATTCAGGGCTGACTTTGCTGGCTCTTATCTTCCCCGTTTTTTAGGGATATAGGATAAAGAGCCACAGGCATAAAAGCCCAGCTAATAAAAATTGGCTCACTGGTGAGTCATTTGCTTTTATATTCTACTTAAATATTCTTTTCTTTTTGAATCATAGGGGCTAGTCAAGACAATAGAGCTACATAATCCAAAGAAGGATCAA